CCAAACAAATGGATAGGACGAGGTGGGCCGTTGCCATGGCCAGCAAGAAGTCCGGACCTAACCCCCATGGATTTTCATGTGTGGGGGTGCATGAAAAGTCTTGTCTACAGCGAGCCAAATCCAGTTTCGTCTGTGGAAGAATTAAGAGAAAGGATTGTCGATGCAGCAAATCAACTAAGGACAACGTTGACCACTGCACTTGTAAAGACTGGTCTCCGTAGAAGGATGCGACAATGTATTAGAAACAGAGGCAGCCATGTTGAACATGAACTGTAGAGTAAGAAAAAGTTGTGTGAAAACCTGATTTAATAAATGATATTTCATGCTTACCTATTGTTTTATTTTACTTTTTAGGGCTAAGTATCAATTTTCTTCTCCACTGTCGCCTATGAAACTAAGTTTTTTCAATGCATTTAAATAAAATCCTAGATTGTTATACCTCGTTAGATAGCTGATAAAACATAGATATTTTAAAACACATCTGCCGAACAATTGCCATAATATTTTTTTTAGATATCCCTTAGAGAAAAATAAACTTTCTGATATTTTTTTCAATTTCTTAACATTCACTTATCTACTACAGCCTATTCAATTAACTTATGGACTATTTTAATGATTGACGTCCTAAAGCATCTTATTACACATGTTAAAATGCAATAATAGTAATAATAACACACACAAAATAAAAATAAATACATTTAGTAGCCTAAAAATCGGCAATTTTCAATAAAAACATTAAAAGTTGAATATCTCGAAAAGGGTTAAGTTTAGGGTAGGGTGTTTCATAATGAAATAAGTCAGAAATGATGGGTACTACACGCCCTTAACGGATCTAGCACGACTTTTCCTGTAACCCTGTATATATATTATATAGGGTGACTTTGAAGTTGAGTCATTAATTTTCAGATAATGATTGTAGATGGAAGTTAAACCAAAATATGTGTGTAAAAATAAAAAAAAAATAAAAAAAAATGTTACTTTGTTTTATAAAGTATCCTCCCGACAAGTATTTCAGTGCGGGCCTGTATTTGATCGTGCGGTCTTGGAGCACCGGAATGCCCTCTCCTGTGAGGTCTTAAGTCACCTGATTCACGAGCCCTTTGTACTACATTAACAAAGGCACAAGGGGTTGGTTGCACTCGATTGGGAAACCGATCCGCATAAATCCGTGATGCCGCGGCAGCATTTTGTAAAGACTCCCCCCCGTAAATAAGAATCATGTCCACAAGTTCAGCATTTTCGTAAACATGTGCCATTTTTTATTTCGTTTGAGCCACGCAACAAACACCACTATTCACTCACGCGTTACCGACTGACACATTGACTGAATACAACTGAATAAAATTGTAGTAAAAACATCGTTTCAACTTCTTTCGCTTTTTTGTTTCCGATGCGATGAACCGATAAGGCGGATTATATCCATTGTTGCCAAATACGAGCACATAATATTATTATTGAGATAGGGCGGTACTCAAACTTCTAAAGGGCTATAACTTTGTTACTTTAATTTTACCAGAAAAATGATAAAGGAAAAAAACATTTCTTTTGATCAGATCTACTCACTGTTAAAATAAATGACTCAACTTCGAAGTCACCCTGTATAGGTGAAACCTAACTGGTCTAGATGACAATGACCACGTCCCAAGTTATATACACAGGGTGTTTCAGTTTATTGATGCATAACTTTAAGATTCGATAGAACTTTTAACATTAATGCATAAAGTCTATATAAACATGAGTCGAAAAATGCGTGGCTTCCGAAATACAGGGTGTTTAAATTTACTTTCTAAAATAGTTTTTTTTAAATATTACGAACAATATTTGATGTATAACAGTGAAAATTGGTATACAAGGGGTTTTTGGTACGACAAAACGAACCATGGGCATAGTTTTACTGTAGCCGCTAGAGGGCGCTCTCTAATGTACCTGTAGTGTATTAAAATGATCAAAAATTTGCTTTTTGAATATAAATACTGATTCTTCGCACTTTTCAACATAAAAAAGCTCTCTTGTGAATTTTTGTTATAGTTAGCCGTTTTTGAGATATTTCGATTTTTAATGTTCGATGCATTTTTAATTATTTATGATAAAATAACGTTAAAAATTCAGTATCTCGATAATTTTTAGAAGTAGGCTGTGCCTGCAAATATTTTTGAAATTGAAAGCAGAATAAGGTTAAACGTCAATTAGTTGACAGTTAGTTTTGTTGTCTGTTGAAACTTGAAATGTTTTTTTGCAATTGTAAGTGCACGAAATTTAGTTTCTTTTACCTGTTTTTTTTTGTAAGTTTTATAAAAATGCCATTTTTATTCTCCAATCAAGAGTTAGCGGATATTCATTTTGTGTATGGCTTTGTAAATGGAAACGCAGCAGAAGCAGCCAGAGAATACGCACGAAGATTTCCAAACAGACGACATCCAACTCGCTCAGTATTTGTAAGAGTGCATCGCCAAATAATTGAAAATGGTTTTGGAAATCTCCAAAAAGATCAAAACATAAATGTTCGTCAGCGTAGATTTACCCGTATGATTCTGCGTGAGTTTGATAGAGATCCGACCACAAGTGTTAGGAGAGTTTCTGGTGCCTTGGGAATTTCAGCAAGCCATGTTCACCGTGTTCTTAGAAATGACCATAGACGTCCTTACCATTTGCAACCTGTGCAAGGACTACAGCCAGGGGACGGAGAACGGACATTTTGTCAGTGGATTCTTGATAGAACTGATAATAATAGGGAGTTTTTAAGTAACGTTTTATGGACCGATGAGTCATGCTTCACTAGACGTGGAGTGGTAAATTTTCATAATCAACATATTTGGTCGCATGAAAATCAGCATGCAGTTCGGGAAAGAAATTTTCAGCATGAGTTTAGTGTGAACGTGTGGATTGGTATCTACCGTAATCGACTATTTTGACCCTACCTTTTGCCTGCAAGGTTAAATGCTGCGACCTTCTTGGAATTTTTAAAGGCTGAACATGCAAATATGTGGGATGATGTTATGTTAGATTTAAGAAGATTGGCCTGGTTCCAGCTCGATGGTTGTCCAGCTCATTATTCGAGAATAGTTAGAAACTGGCTGGACGAAAATTATCCAGAAAGATGGATCGGCCGTGGAGGACCAGTCGCCTGGCCTCCACGATCCCCTCACCTAAATCCATTAGATTTCTTTGTGTGGAGATTTCTAAAAGAAAGTGTATCAGACTCCCGTAACTACAAGAGATATGCTAATAGACAGAATAAGGAATGCATGTGATGAAATAAGGCCTTATTTGAATAATGCTATACCAAGTTCGATCATTCATAGATGTGAATTGTGTATTGAACAATTGGGTTTACATTTCGAGCAACTACTTTAGATTTCTTATGTTTGTCCTAACTATCCAATAGCATTTTAGTTGTAAATAATTAATTTAATTTTTTAAAAATAATATTGGAAAATTAAACAAATCAATATTCTGTTTTTTGTGTTTAGTTGGAGTTAGGAATTATTGCTGTGTTTATAAACACAATCTAAACGATCATCTTAATTACTTGTAATACCCAAAGCGAAAATGTAAAAAAAATATTATTTTCCCATAAATAATTAAAAATGCATCGAACCTTAAAAAATCGAAATATCTCAAAAACGGCTAACTATAACGAAAAGTCACAGGAGAGCTTTTTTATGTTGAAAGGTGCGAAGAATCAGTTTTTTTATTTAAAAAGCAAAAAATTGCACTAAGAAAATGTTTTCGGTCAGTTTAATACACTACAGGTACAGTAGAGAGCGCACTCTAGCGGCTACAGTAAAACTAACAAAACTAACTGTCAACTAATCGACGTTTAACCTTATTCTGCTTTCAATTTCAAAAATATTTGCAGGCACAGCCTACTTCTAAAAACTATCGAGATACTGACTTTTTAGCGTTATTTCATCATAAATAATTAAAAATGCATCGAAAGTTAAAAATCGAAATATCTCAAAAACGGCTAACTATAACAAAAATTCACAAGAGAGCTTTTTTATGTTGAAAAGTGCGAAGAATCAGTTTTTTTATTCAAAAAGCAAATTTTCGGTCATTTTAATACACTACAGGTACATTAGAGAGCGCCCTCTAGCGGCTACAGTAAAACTATGCCCATGGTTCGTTTTGTCGTACCTAAAAACCCTTGTGTACCAATTTTCACTCACTGTTAAAATAAATGACTCAACTATATATATACAGGTGAAAAAAGGCTTAGTACATGGAAAAGTCAAATTTACACCTAATAAATTGGCCATAAGGATATTGGATGCATCACCATCAAAAGTCAAACTCTTAATTAACATTCCAGTGCTTTCTAATTGCAGTAAACTGCCCCTCACAAAGGTAGCCTTTTCTTCAGCCGATGAAGATTCTACTAGAAAATATGCTATTGGAACTTTCCATCTACTGTTAATGCAAACAACCATGAAAACTGAAGCTTTTGTAGCCTTTGGGATCTCCTCACTACTTTGCATTGCAACACAACAATATGTAGCCTACTAATCTACTTCCTGTCCGATGTACATGCTGACGAATATACATTTCATCCATCATCAAGGCACCAACAAGCTGTTTTCCTTTTTGTTTATCAACATCCACCTTAATTTTGATAGCACGAAATGCTTCTGCACTATATCCAGGTGTACCATCTACAACACTATACCAATTTGAAAGTGAGCGTGGATGTGGTAGAAAAATTTTTCCAAATATTTTTCTAACATAGTTGCAAGCTGATGATGAATAAAAATTCAATGTTAGTGCAAAACACCTTAATTCTGGGCTATACTTGTTAGATTTTCCTTTTTTCAACTGGCTGAAAAGCAGTTGCTTTTGGGTTTCTGGGAGACTTTCCTGTAAAAAGAAAATGTATGCATCATAATTTTAAGCTAAAAATTTCATGCACTAAATGTAAAACCTAAATGCTGTGATGGTAAAATGATCACTCTAGCTAGTAATCAATAGATATTCAACAGAGTTCAACAATTGAAATGAAAATTTTACAAATGAAAATAAACTTGGGCTGGAAAATCAAACACAGATGGAACTGCCACCTTTTTTAGTACCTTATTTCCATGAACACTAACTTCATAATCCTCTGGAGTGAAATGCTTTTCACAAATTACCGTTGTTGTACTGGGAGTAAAGTTTTCTCTTCTTATAGCATGTAACCACAACTTCCTCATGTTAGGATATCTAGGTATCCTAAAAAACCAGATATTTCCTCGAATTACCAATTAACAGGTAATTCTCACACAAAAATGAATGAGACGATTAAAAGCAACCTGTGAAACTTCATTATCACATCTTTTCTCCGACTATTGCAGCAATTCACCGCACTGCAAGATTCAACCATTTTTAAACAAATATCACATAAAACAACAGCTCTTGAAGGCTGTCCGGCATAAAAATGTTTATAATAATTATTGTCGCAAACTATCACTATTAATCTTTAACGTCACTAAAACTAGCGCTATCCTTCTCGTTTCTCATTCTAGCCGCAATGAATTCGCGTTACGCCTGTTCCATCAGTGTTGACAGTTCATTGGTGTAGCCTGAGGAAACGAAGATGGAGAGGGAAAAAATGACGACACATGCAGTCCCCAACAAGAGCAAACCTACACGTTGTAGTATAAAATGGCTAGAAGACCTCGAATTTTCAAGGCGACATCTAACCACAACCACGCGGCTGGTAATAGCCACTTGCTATGGTACTTCAAGACTAATGATCTACAAAGAGAAAATGACCCTGCGGAGACAAAAATTGGGAAAATAATGGGCAAAATCCGCAAAAAGAAAGAAAGCGGATTCGAGCAGAAAATAGGATAGGTAACCCTCGTGGATATTACTTTGTAATAATGCTTTATAAAGTAAATTTTAAAGTCACCCATCAAAATATGAGGAAGTTAGTCTTTTTTTCGGGGTCGGCAAAAAGTGTCAAAGGTGGCCTATTTGCCAGGCTTTACCACCCCACCACCAGTACTACTACTAGTCAATTTAGATACTTAGCAACTTAAAAAATTAAAATTATTTTTAACCGGGATTTTGAGTATTGAAGGTAGCCATTTTCATGATTTTCCAGACCTTATAACTTATAACCAACCAGCGTGTCTGAAAAAATCAAGTAGCAACATTTCTCCCACGCATGCGAAGTTTTCGCCCCATCTATTAGACATTCCCGGTGAAGGTTTGATTAAATGTGGGCTGGTTTGAAGCCTCCTATATTTGAGGAGACTGACAAAAACCAACTTGAATAGATGAATAAGTTGAGAACAGTACTCCTACATGATTGATGAGTTGGTTAACGTTAGACAGGAATAATGGCAATTCTATAGTATTAATGAGACTTTCAGCAATTGTTGCTGTTTAACGGTTTTTGTCGATTCACTCATTCTGTATGTTGATGCATATTCGGAACATCCAACCATGCTGTGCTCACTTTATCTTTCAATCACATCAACAAAATCTAGTGGTAGAGGAAAATGCCGTAAACCGAACTACCTCCCACACTCCTTAGCTAGACAACCCTTGTGACAGTATGCTTTATCACCATTTTTTTTCGAAACCCATTTTCAGATTCCAAAAGGATAAAGGGAAAAATTGACTTGTAAAATTGAGTTATTTTAAAAAGTATAAAGTATAACGCGGACGGTATGGAAGGAGGCAGGGGGGAGAAATGGAAGTGCGATATTTATAGTTAAAGGATTAAGCACTACGTATCGGTTTTAAAAGCATTCTGTATCCTACATTGATCAGGCTTATACACTGTCTCATCCATGTGGGAAAGAGATATTGGTTCTAGAAGGAAACTTTTCAAGGAACAGTATTTCTATGTACATGATATCTGGGAGCACGTTCATAAAATACTCAAAATTATGCAGATCTCAATTTTGACCCAAATATTTTTTTTTTTGTAAATCCCATATCATTGATTACGTATTCCGCTAGATCCTTCTAAACGAAGAAGATTGATTTACGGTACTTATAGGTTTTGTTTATTACTTATTGAGCTATTGGGTATTTTATCTAAAAAACCCTTGGGTTTGAGAGCCTTCACACCTGCTACCTCAATAGATGAATTATTGAGTTTTTTGTCAAAAATATTTTATCATCCCCAGTTTCATCACAGCTCATCCGTCTTTGAATTTTCTGTATACAGGGCGGTCAAAAACGTAAAATGTAGATACTTACTCTTACAAAAAGCAAATTTCCTTTATATATACGTATAGATCGGTGGTGCTTATAATGAAAACTAAATATTCCTTTAAACTAAATCATGAAATCAAATCAATCCCATGCTTGAGCTATGAAATTCAACATTGTCAGATGGGTTTTAAATGTTTTATGTTAAAGTATGACAGCTAACAAGTTTAGTTAGTTTGATTGAACTCCAATTTCTAAAACAGCTTACTTGAATCCATGAAACTAGTTTAGTTAAATCAAAATGCATTTTTAAGTTTATTAAGCCGCCTACTTAGATTGAGTAGACCAACTTTTTTAAAACTAATGTACAATGTAATAATAAAATGACCATCCCTACTCCAAGTACGCCAATTTAATTGCATTTATTAAATTTATTTAATTGATTTATGTAGAAGGATTTTCCTTGTATTAATCAATCATTATATTCAGATTTAAAGATATTTAGATGATATTTGGAATTTAGAAGAACACATTGCGTTTTACTAAATGATGGATATTATAACTGTGCTCTCCGACAAATCTATGATATCAGAGAATTTGAAAAGCTTAATAGTGATAATTGATATTTTCGAACCAAAATAAAACTTCCAAATTTTGTTAGCTCAACAAAATTCGACATTTTTTATTTTCATTGATTATTAACCTATTATATTGTATGGGATCAAGTTTCACGAGTTATCTGACTGACTGACTGGAAGCAGGTTATATCACCACTGACTATAATCTATCCAACGAACGTATGGAGTAATGAAACAAGTGACAGCGTAGCCCGAGTTACAGCGCACAATTACCTACACAAGCGATAATGCGTTATCGCCAGTGGCGTATAGGTTTTAAAATTAATTGAGGTGCAATTTAATTAATTTTCACTGTTTCTTCTATATTTTCATTACTTTCAAGGTGCTATAAGGTTTATTACAATGACATATTAAATATGCTGCCCCAGTTTATGATTCGTTAACTTTACATATTTTTTATATTAAAACAAAATTTAGTACATGGGAAAAATAAACAAAAGGGCTTAAAACTTAAATTCTTTTTTAGATTGGATCTTGGATCTTTTTAATATAATACCTAATAATGAATCTAGCTGCAGTCATTACCACGTTTATTTTGACTGCTCTATCCGGATAGACTTTAAAGTCGATTATCCCAATCATGTCTAATCCTGACCGTTTATTTCGGCAATCCACAAGTCAAACCAAAACAGATAACGTCAAAATCGGTCAAAAGCGGTCAGGATTAACACAGGATTGCGATAACCTACTTTGAAGTCTATCCGAATAGAGCCGTAGAAATAAACATGGTAATTATATAAGTATGTTTAGGGATATAGGTCCTTCGTCATTACCCAGATATACAAATTACATTTATTAACTAATCGCTATCACTATCAATATAATCTGAAAATTCTGAATCGTTTCCTAAGTTAATAATCACTGGTTCAACCACTCTTTAGATACATTGGTCAGTTGTCCACATTTTTTCTTCCTCATTCTCAACATGTTCGATTGCTTTTTTCGAATTTTCTGGAGTTGCATTTTGTACCGTGGTGTAAAAAGCTGCTTTGCATCTGCGATCTTGAAAGTTGTGTTTTTTCTGGAAACTTCGTTTTCAGCTTGCGCCCAAATTAACTTGATTGGGTTAAACTCGCAATAGTGAGAAGGCAGGCGTAAAACAGTCCGATTGGTAGATTTAGCCGTTTCGTCGATGACATACTTGTAAGCACTTTTGCCCTTGACCAGACTTAAAACTTCTGCTTTGACCATATCGTCGTCATTATGCCTTCGTAGCCATTCCTTTATTTCCCCGTTTCTGTTTACACTGTTTGGTGCTTTATCAATACGCCCACTATGGTATCAAATATTGTCCATAACAATGACAGCGTTCTCTTCTAGACGGCTTATAATATTTTCAAACCATTCTTCAAATAAATTGGCATTCATATCGGCCTGGTAGTCTCCTGCTTATTTTGCTTCAAATACCAATAGTCCGTCTTCCACAAAGACATTATCAGATCCGATGTATATGATAATTAGCCGTTTTCCTTTACCTGAAGGATTCTTTAATCCCGTGGAGAGACATTCTAGGAAGGCTTGCCGAGGATGCTCAACTGATGAATCCACCCATAATTTGCTAACAGTGTGTCCTGCATTGAGCCAAGTCTCGTCTGGGTAGTATATCTTCCTGCCTTCTTCTCTATACTTTCAGATATCGCGTAAGTATCTATCTCTCCAACATATTATCTCGTCCTTTTCTTTCAAGATGCTATTTTGCTTCCTTCATACAAAACTAAAAATTACATTAAATCTTAAAATTCCTTAACGCAATGAACCATATGATACGAATAACGAATTTCAGGCGATTCATATTAAAAAAATTGCAGTTTTAGTCTAGTCATAAAGTATAGATAAAGAATGATAAAAAACTCTAAACCATTTTTGTATGTGAAAATTTTACGGATTTTATTAGTATTGTATTTTCCATTCAAGGAGAAATAAAAAACAAAATAAGTTTTTTGTATAACACCGAAAATTAAGTTCCTTCATCAATGTAGCCAACGTCGATCTTTTGAAGTTTGGCAAGTCATCGTCGTCGTTTATTGATAATAAAATTTTGTCCAATGTGGCTGGTTCGTTTCGGAAGAAAAATTCGTGGATTTTTCCTCGAATTAATGCCTTAATTTCTTGTGACACCAAAACTACTCTGGCTCTATGGTAACCTTTGGGAGTAGAAAGACTGTTGCTTCCTTTGTGCCCTGCAAAAATTTTACATACACTGCTACTTGATGCTCCGGAATAAATAATAAAAATAATTGAAAATAAGTTTTAAAAATCAAAATGTGTGCAATAGAAGTAACTATCATATTAGTAGGTAAGATATGTAACAGAAAATAACTATTATTTAGGATAATACATCAAACTACAAAACATTTCAAACTATACTTCAAAGCTAAATCCCCACCTGATGCTCTTGAAACAAAGGCTACACGTTCTGTCTGAGCTTCATTTGGATAGCGCTCCCGAGAAGCTATATAAATATTTATAATAGTTCCTTTTTCAGAAACCGACAAAGCTCTTTTTGTCCGTTTTCTTGGTAATTGGCCCTTGTCTAATAAGGCACTCAAGTCGAAATATCCTTTTAAAAAAAATCAACCGCACGTCACAGACCTTCGGAAAGAATTTAAGTGCTATTGTGAATTTGGCGACTTATCTACCGAAAACGGACCAATAGGAACGAGGCGCGTGCCGGTCAGATGATTTA